GTAATGGATATTCTATGTGTAAACTATTAGTATAAATAACCCATATAGCATAATTCTAACGTTTACAATGTGTGTATATTTATGCGTTTCAAATTATTCATGTTATACATCCAAATGGTATACTTTTGACATATTTTTGGTGAAATGTCTAAGTAATTAGAGTTACATCTGTACTAAGCAAAGTTACATTACATCTTGAGAGTTTTAGAAATGAATTTGTGACACAATTTCCCATGCTGCCCGAAACTGCCAACGCGTGCAGTAAAGATATAACATTGTTTTGTTTTTTTTAACTTTACGCAAGCATTCTACACGTTATAATCATTGTCAAGACGTGACCTAATACTGCGTTTGGGTTTGTTTTGAATTTCGTGCAAGGCTACACGAGGGCTATCTGCGCTAGCCATCCCTAATTTAATAATGAAAGACTAGAGGGAAGGCAGCTAGTCATCACCACCCACCGTCAACTCTTGGGCTACTCTTTTACCAACGAATGATGGGATTGAACGTCAATCTCCCACTGCTGAAAGGGTTGGTGAGACGAGGATTCGAACCCGCGACGCGCTGATTGCGAATCGAGCGCCACAATCCCTTGGTCATGCCAGGCTCTGTAGCATCCGAATACCTATTTATCACGTGTAAGGAAAAAAATCCTGTGCGCATATGACAATTCACTTCGCCCGTTTAAATTGCATCTTTGTAAGCGTTAAGTTCTTCAACTGCAATGAAGTAAACACTATTCTATGTTCGATAAGTTATAATGTATTTAATTTATTATTATTATAATAATATTTTAATGGAAAAATAATATTAGCTTAGTATATGCATTTATAATTAACTTAAATTTCCTAAGCTGGCCATATCTCGTTAAATGTTATGGTCGAAAATAATATTAACAGTGAGGGTACCCAAATGATGAAACAATGCATTCTAAACGTTATAAGTAAAAACATAAGAAAAGCCTATTTAATTAGCTATGCTCAGTACTTTTGATTTTTAGTGCTCATCTATGTAGATAGCTAGCTTTGATTAGCAAGTAATTTCTTCATATTATGAAACAAGTGCTGAAACTATACCTACATTCACAGGTGAACTCTTACAGGGCAATTGTTTTTTCAGGAGCGCTCGTTATTTTTAATAACTAGAAGAAGCACTTCCCGAAGCAC